AACAGTCTTGAAGGAGTTTCCGCATATGCTGAGCACTTGTTGGCTGCTTTTCCTTCACTCTGCGGTCCGACTCATCCCAAACCATCTCAATTTGGTTGAGATCGGGGGATTGTGGAGGCCAGGTCATCTGATGCAGCACTCCATCACTCTCATTCTTGGTAAAATAGCCCTTACACAGCCTGGAGGTGTGTTGGGTCATTGTCCTGTTGAAAAACAAATGATAGTCCCACTAAGCCCAAACCAGATGGGATGGCGTATCGCTGCAGAATGCTGTGGTAGCCATGCTGGTTAAGTGTGCCTTGAATTCTAAATAAATCACAGACAGTGTCACCAGCAAAGCACCCCCCACACCATAACAACTCCTCCTCCATTCTTTCGGTGGGAAATACACATGCGGAGATCATCCGTTCACCCACACGCGTCTCACAAAGACACGGTGGTTGGAACCAAAAATCTCCAATTTGGACTGCAGACCAAATGACACATTTCCACCGGTCTAATGTCCATTGCTCATGTTTCTTGGCCCAAGCAAGTCTCTTCTTATTATTGGTGTCCTTTAGTAGTGGCTTCTTTGCAGCAATTCGACCATGAAGGCCTGATTCACACAGTCTCCTCTGAACAGTTGATGTTGAGATGTGTCTGTTACTTGAACTCTGTGAAGCATTTATTTGGGCTGCAATTTCTGAGGCTGGTAACTCTAATGAACTTATCCTCTGCAGCAGAGGTAACTCTGGGTCTTCCATTCCTGTGGCGGTCCTCATGAGAGCCAGTTTCATCATAGCGCTTGATGGTTTTTGTGACTGCACTTGAAGAAACTTTCAAAGTTCTTGACATTTTCCGTATTGACTGACGTTCCTGTCTTAAGGTAATGATGGACTGTCGTTTCTCTTTGCTTATTTGAGCTGTTCTTGTCATAATATGGACTTGATGTCACGATCGTTTATAGACGGGACGGACCAAGGCGCAGCGTGATATGCATACATGTTTATTTATATTGAATAAACACCACGACAAAACAACAAATGAAACAAAACGTGAAGTCCAAGGTAGACAAACAACATACCTCACACGGAACAAGATCCCACAACTAACTAGTGCCAAAAGGCTGCCTAAGTATTGTCCCCAATCAGAGACAACGAATGACAGCTGCCTCTGATTGGGAACCACACCGGCCAACAAAGAAATAGACATACTAGAACATCAACATAGAAATATACAACATAGAACATACACACCCTGACTCAACATATACGAGTCCCTTGAGTCAGGGCGTGACACTTGGTCTTTTACCAAATAGGGCTATCTTCTGTATACCCCCCCTACCTTGTCACAACACAACTGATTGGCTCAAATGCATTAAGAAAGAAAGAAATTCCACAAATTAACTTTTAACAAGGCACACCTGCTAATTGAAATGCATTCCAGGTGACTACCTCATGAAGCTGGTTGAGAGAATGCCACAAGTGTGCAAAGCTGTCATCAAGGCAAAGGGTGATTTGTTTAAGACTTTTTTGGTTACTACATGATTCCATATGTGTTATTTCATAGTTTTGATGTCTTCACTATTATTCTACAATGTAGAAAATAGTAAAAATAAAGAACAACCCTTGAATGAGTAGGTGTTCTAAAACTTTTGACCGGTAGTGTATAAATACAAAAGTATGTGGACACTCCTTCAAATTAGTGGATTTGGCTATTTCAGCCACACCCGTTTCTCACAGGTGTATAAAATTTAGCCCACAGCCATGCAATCTCCATAGACAAACATTGGCAGTGGAATGGCCTTCCCGAAGAGCTCCGTGACTTTCATCTTGGCACCGTCATAGGATGCCACCTTTCCAACAGGTCAGTTCTTCAAATTTCTGCCCTGTTAGAGCTGCCCCGCTCAACTGTAAGTGCTGTTATTGTGAAGTGGAAACGTCTAGGAAGTGGTAGGCCACACAAGCTCACAGAACGGCACCGCCGAGTGCTGAAGTGCGTAACGTGTAAAAATCGTCTGTCCTCGGTTGCAACACTCACTACCGAGTTCCAAACTGCCTCTGGAAGCAACTTCAGCACAATAACTGTTCATTGGGAGCATCATGAAAGGGGTTTCCATGACCAAGCAGCCGCACACAAGCCTAAGATCACCATGCGCAATGCCAACCGTTGGCTGGAGTGGTGTAAATCTCACTGCCATTGGACTCTGGAGCAGTGGAAACGCGTTCTCTGGAGTGATGAATCACGCTTCACCATCTGGCAGTTCGACAGACGAATCTGGGTTTGGCGGATGCCAGGAGAACGCTACCTGCCCGAATGCATAATGCCAACTGTGGAGGAGGAATAATGGTATGGGCCTGTTTTTCATTGTTCGGGCTAGGCCCCTTAGTTCCAGTGAAGGGAAATCTTAACGCTACAGCATACAATGACATTCTGGACAATTCTGTGCTTCCAACTTTTTGGCAACAGTTTGAGGAAGGCCCTTTCCTGTTTCAGCATGATATTATCCCCGTGCACAAAGTGAGGTCCATACAGAAATGGTTTGTCGAGATCGGTGTGGAAGAACTTGACTGGCCTGCACAGAGCCCTGACCTCAACCCCATCGAACACCTTTGGATGAATTGGAACGCCAACTGCAAGTCAGGCCTAATCGCCCAACCTCACTAATGCTCTTGTGGCTGAATGGAAGCAAGTCCCTGCAGCAATGTTCCAACATCTAGTGGAAAGCCTTCCCAGGACAGTGGAGGCTGTTATAGCGGCAAAGGGGGGACCAACTCCATATTAATGCCCATGATTTTGGAATGACATGGTCGACGAGCAGGTGTCCACATACTTTTGGTCATGTCGTGAATTGTAGAAGCCGCAGGTACATATTAAGCACCATGGACAGCGACACAATGAGCCTCAACTAAAACAAAGGACTGGGGCGAATTCATTAAGCCGATTCTGTTGCAAAACATTCCTTAAACGGAAGCAAATGAAACGGGGAGGGACCTACCTGAATTTGTCCAATATAAACTCTCATTTTGCTCTGTTTGCTTCCGTTTGGTTCTTAAACGGTACAGTTTCCGTAATGAATATACCCCTGATTACATATTCAACACCACAGCCACCGAACTGCGCCGCGTCCAGGCAGATCATATAGACCTAATGTGTGAAGATTCAGCCCACCTGTGTTGTATTGTAGTTAGGTCCCCTGAAAGCTAGAATTTTACAAGTAAAGGAAGACATTGAAGATCTTTGGAAATACTGTTCTGTCTTTGGTACCAGCTTCATACCTTGTGGGCCTAAAGGCTGCACCCGTTCAATTTAGGCCAGACCAAATTTTGCTCAATGCTTGTTCTGTAGTCCAGTACAGTGTTCTTGAACTTTGATTGATTTGTTTACAGCCTCCATAATACTTTTGGCTTCGGTATGTATGAACATTGAGGCATGCTAGGCTAGGCCTACATATCTGTATCATGAACGATGACATGACACTAGGGACTCTATTCAATCCATAACCATGGAAGTTCAGCGTTACAGCGTGATTTAAATTTAAAGGCAATGTTCCTGTGTTAGCAGAGAATGCATGAAAGAAAGTGACCCGGCTCTACTATGTTACTGGTTTGTGACCCACTAACACCACCCCCGGTTAGAGGGGAATAAGGCAACCCAAGAGTTGACACACACAGGAACTTTATTCACACACACGAGATGAACATGGGGATGTACATGGGGGTGAAAAGTGTGAAAGGTAGTGGTTTACGTATGGGTGGTCCCAGGGATCAAACCCACTACCCTGGCGTTACAAGCACCATGCTCTACCAATTGAGCTACAAAGGTCACACAGGTCAGAGAGAGTTTGAGAGGCAGGTTTATGGTACCCCCTAGACTCAGGCTCAGGTCATGGGGATGGGGAGTGGAGTGTGCAGCTCAGGGTTGTGAGGTGCTGATAACAGTCATCGGCAGGGAATTCGTTACACTGCATTCACGGTAAACGCTGCATATGTCGGCTTAATCTGAAATTATCTTTACATTTCTATCGCGCAATCTGTAACACTTCAGCTATACAGATTGAATAGAGCCCTAGGTCTGTGTTGTCTTTGTATATGGTGTGTCAATGGAGGGTGTGTCAATAATTACTAGGCTACTAACCGAAGTTCCCTCTGGGGAAAAAATAAATAAATGTAAATAAAGTTATTCTATTCTGTACTATTATTTTCTATTCTATTCTATTCTATAATATTAAGCAGGGGCACAACTTTCACTGGGGAATGTCCCAATTTTGAAATTGCGTTTTTGTCCCCCCCAGTTTTATCATTGGAATGTGATACAAATCCGATTGAAAAAAATTAAATAATAATAATATTATGTCCCCTGCACTTCTAAAACCAAAGTTGCGCCCCTGATATTAAGGACAGATAGTATACATTATTATTATGCTGTAATAACTTGCACCAGTAGCTGAACTATATGTAGTGGTCTGCAAAACAGAATATTACAGACTGTTTGTTTTTTTAGTGCATTTTGCCTAATGGCAAATTAACTTATGCATATACCAGCAGACCATGCCCTACCTACACTGTCACTCATTACGTAAAGGCTGGTTCCCTTTGTAGGATTTCTAGATTTTTCTCGCGTAGATGGTCTGTCGCACCAATCAAATACACCTTTGGTGACATGTAACCACTAACAGATAGCAGAGGGCGGGTTCTAAAGGCATTCCAGACTGCTCTTTGCGCATGTTTGCTTGGATTACCAATTGGTACCAGTGAAATTGAGAGAATCCTGTGGACATTCTCACTCACTGGGATTAGGTTGAATGAGTTGGCTATAAAGAGTTTGGTTTACATAATAGCTAGTAGCCTAATTCAGTTAGAACTGTGAGAGCTAACTGTCTCATATGTATTGTGAAAACGAAATACATCATTTAAAATAGCCTACATTCTCGCATAGTGGAATATTTTATTTTTCTCATTGGAAAAGTGTCAAGTGTCAATCGTTACGGAAAATTGCACAAACTAACAGCTACACTCATTATGTCAGTAGTAGGTATTGATGTGGGTTTCCAAAATTGTTACATAGCTGTTGCCAGAAGCGGCGGTATTGAAACCATTGCCAATGAATACAGCGACAGATGTACGCCGTAAGTATACCATTGAAATCAATATATAGAATGTGATTTGGTACACAATGTTTGCGACTGGGGATCCGCGCTGTAACCTACCCTACCCTGATGGCGTAGAGAAAAAAAAGGCTCCAACAATGGATGTTTCTTGTGTTATGATGAATATCTTACATTGGATGACATTACATTGGATTGTATTTTTTCTTCCATGTAAATGCATAGTTTATGTATAGGAATATTTTGGTTATTACAACGTTATAACGTCTACATTCTCAGAAGTCTTTTTTGCATATTCATTTACCTAATGACCTCTCTTAGTAATTGCAGCCGTCTACGTAGTGCTTGGAATGTGGCCTTTTTAGTTTAATCTTACACTTTTCTATCATATTCTGTGAGACATGATTTTTAAGGCATCGTCATAGCCTATGCCGAAATTTGAACAAGTTGTTCAGAATAAGAATGTATTGGACTATATCTCATGTCATATAGTTGATATTTTTTTTGAATATCCTTGCATTACTCTATTTTTCAAATAAGCTTTGTTGTGTTGTCTTTTTCTCTCAAAGCAGGCCCATGCGATGTCAGCAAACTGTATCGTTCATTTTATTTCTTGCGAGCATCATTTGAATTTGCTGGGACTTGACTGCTGTCATAAAATTCTTGCTCTCAGACTTAAGAGTACTGTATGACAAATTGCCATATGATCTGAAAAATTGAAACAAAGATAAATATAGGCTATAGATGAGCTGCTTGTAGTGCCTACTGTATGTAGCCTATGTGAATGTAATGATCATTCACAAATGTTATTACATTGGAATAGGTGACTGTGAATACAGTCGTGGTCAAACGTTTTGAGAATGACACAAGTATTGGTCTTCACAAAGTTCGCTGCTTCAGTGTTATGAGATATTTTTGTCAGATGTTACCATGGTATACTGAAGTATAATTACAAGCATTCCATAAGTGTCAAAGGCTTTTATTGACAATTACATTACGTTTATGCAAAGAGTCAATATTTGCAGTGTTGACCCTTCTTTTTCAAGACCTCTGCAATCCGCCCTGGCATGCTGTCAATTAACTTCTGGGCCACATCCTGACTGATGGCAGCCCATTCTTGCATAATTAATGCTTGGAGTTTGTCAGAATTTGTGGGGTTTTGTTTGTTGAGGATCGACCACAAGTTCTCAATGGGATTAAGGTCTGTGGAGTTTCCTGGCCATGGACCCAAAATGTCGATGTTTTGTTCCCCGAGCCACTTAGTTATCACTTTTGCCTTATGGCAAGGTGCTCCATCATGCTGGAAAAGGCATTGGTCGTCACCAAACTGTTCTTGGATGGTTGGGAGAAGTTGCTCTCGGAGGATGTGTTGGTACCATTCTTTATTCATGGCTGTGTTCTTAGGCAAAATTGTGAGTGAACCCACTCCCTTGGCTGAGAAGCAACCCCACACATGAATGGTTTCAGGATGCTTTACTGTTGGCATGACACAGGACTGATGGTAGCGCTCACCTTGTCTTCTCCGGACAAGCTTTTTTCCGGATGCCCCAAACAATCGGAAAGGGGATTCATCAGAGAAAATTACTTTACCCCAGTCCTCAGCAGTCCAATCCCTGTACCTTTTGCAGAATATCAGTCTGTCCCTGATGTTTTTCCTGGAGATAAGTGGCTTCCTCAATGCCCTTCTTGACACCAGGCCATCCTCCAAAAGTCTTTGCCTCACTGTGCGTGCAGATGCACTCACACCTGCCTGCTGCCATTCTTGAGCAAGCTCTGCACTGGTGGTGCCCCGATCCCGCAGCTGAATCAACTATAGGAGACGGTCCTGGCGCTTGCTGGACTTTCTTGGGCTCCCTGATGCCTTCTTCACAACAATTGAACCTCTCTCCTTGAAGTTCTTGATGATCCGATAAATGGTTGATTTAGGTGCAATCTTACTAGCAGCAATATCCTTGCCTGTGAAGCCCTTTTTGTGCAAAGCAATGATGACGGCACGTGTTTCCTTGCAGGTAACCATGGTTAACAGAGGAAGAACAATGATTTCAAGCACCACCCTCCCTTTAAAGCTTCCCGTCTGTTAATCTAACTCAATCAGCATGACAGAGTGATCTCCATCCTTGTCCTCGTCAACACTCTCACCTGTGTTAACAAGAGAATCACTGACATGATGGCAGCTGGTCCTTTTGTGGCAGGGCTGAAATGCAGTGGAAATGTTTTTTGGGGATTAAGTTCATTTTCATGGCAATGAGGGACTTTGCAATTAATTGCAATTCATCTGATCACTCTTCATGACATTCTGGAGTATATGCAAATTGCCATCATCAAAACTGAGGCAGCAGACTTTGTGAAAATTAGTATTTGTCTCATTCACAACTCATTTTCCAAATAACTTAACATCTGACATCAGACCAACGGCAAGCATCTTTTCCTATGCATAGCCCACAATCACATTGCCAATTGGGAATAACCTCAGACATAACATTGCAGTGTACAGCTCTCTTAAAATGAATTTATGATGAGGAGAAGGAGGAGGGGGAAGATGGGGAGGTGGAGCAGTGAGAACTTCAATGCCAGTTGATGGAATTGAGACTTTCATTCAAGGAACCTGGATCACTCTGTGTCAGCAAGACAATGAGCTGATGGAGGAAGTGAGTCAGTTAAATGAGTTTAAAAAGTGATATTTTAATTGTGGATCTTCCTTACTTTTTGAAGGTGAACTGTTCTGTTTTACTGTCCTAATTTGTAGTTTCTTCATAGACTCCGTTGTGAAATTCACTTAATAATCTGCAGATTTTCAACCTCCGTTGTTCTAAACTGGCATTCTTCTTTCTATGTCAATCCACCTTGTAGCCTACTATTAACCATTAGGCCTATATTTTCTTTTTAATGTGTTTATTTGTTTTGGTTCCCCAGGGCTTGGGTGTCTCTGGCCTCCAAAAACCGAACCATTGGAAATGCAGCCAAGGGTCAAGTAAAATGATCAAATGAGAACAGTTTTTATAATGTAGTATTATTATTGTGAAAATGTAATTTTGCAGATCAATCGTTTTTTGGAAATGGTCAAATTGGTCAGCATCAAATCCTATGACTAAAAAAACAATTTATTTCAGATTATAACAAACTTCAAAAACACAGTCCATGGCTTCAAGAAGTTCCATGGCAGAGCGTTTGACGACCCATATGTCCAGGGGGAGAAACCCAAGTTGCCTTACAGCTTGCACAAGCTGGCCAGTGGCAACACTGGAATCAAGGTAACACCATTGTAGACTTTTCCACTGTGTTCCTTTTTCACTGCACTCCATTTTGAATGTGTTCCCTTTAGCTCCATCACCCCAAGCTCCATTGTCATTATGTAAATTACCATTGTTATTTTGCTCAATTGTTTGTATTTTCCAATGTGTTTGACCTCCAAACCATCTTTTTTAAACAGCACTGACACCATCAACCCTCCTCTGGTTTCATCTGGTTTTGATATTGTCTAAATAGTCTCAACTAAAACTGTGTCTCATTCATAGGTCCGTTACCTGGATGAGGACAAAGTGTTCACAATTGAGCAGGTAACAGCAATGTTGCTGACCAAGCTGAAGGAAACTTCTGAGAGTGCCCTGAAGAAGCCAGTTGTGGACTGTGTGATTTCTGTGAGTGACAACAATATATATACTGTAATACACTGCAAATGAAACGAGTCAACGTAATATCAATATGCTACACGTGAGTATACCATGAAATTAGCCATAGTAATTTTTTCATCCCATTTCAAGTTTATCATTTTCTAACAAGAGTTTTGTTTCACAAGGTCCCAAGTTTTTTCACCGATGCAGAGAGGAGCTCTGTGATGGACTCCACCCAAATTGCAGGGTTGAACTGTCTGCGTCTGATCAATGACACCACGGCAGGTCAGTGATTCCCACAGAGTCATTAAGGTCATATTCTGTGATGGATATGACTATAGGACAGGAGGTTGGTGGCACCTTAATTGGGGAGGACAGGCTCGTGGTAATAGCTGGAACGGAATTAGTGGAATGGTATCAAATACATCAAATGATTTCCATGTGTTTGATGCCATTCTGTTCCCTCCGTTCCAGCCATTATTTTGAGCCGTCTTCCCCTCAGCAGCCTCCACTGGTCAACACACATATTTTATAGGCCTACTAAGAATATAATGGAATATAACAGAATGAAATACAACATGTATTTTTTATAGGTGATTTGAAGGAGTCAGGCGCAGGAGGGTAAATCACAGAATACAGAGTTTATTCCATAGCACTGAGTTACGCTGGATAGCGTCAAACAGTCCAGTGCGCAAAACAGGCGCACTGGAACAAAACAAGCACACAGGGAAAATATACCCCGGCAATACAAAATACACGTAGCTCAACCGAGCTACTCTCTCCTCACAATAAACAATCACCCACAAGGACAAGGGGGGCAGAGGGAACACTTGTAAATGTACTAGTGAGGGGATTTGAACCAGGTGTGTGTAATAGACAAGAAAAAACGAATGGAATGATGAGATATGGAGCGGCAGTGGCTAGAAGGCCAGTGATGATTAACGCCGAAGCCTGCCCGAACAAGGAGAGGAGGCAGCTTCGGAGGAAGTTGTGACACCATGTGTTTGATGCCATTCCATTTGCTCCGTTCCAGCCATTATTATGAGCCGTCCTCCCCTCAGCAGCCTCCACTGGTCTATAGATTTATTGGTGGTAGTTGTCTAAATCCTTAATGTGTATTTAATTGTTTCACAAAAAATGTTTTATTTCTACCAACAACTTTAGTTGTTTAGGGAATATCATTATCCCAAAATAAGCTGGGGATCCCTAGAGACAGCTGTTTTCAAGTCTTTGTTTTCTCACCTGTAATCAGCAGGCACTGATATTCACAGAGTGTACTTGAAAAGGCCTATAAACTGCACAAACATATCATTGTATAAAAATATATATATTTTTGCAGTGAAATGTGTTGTTTTACAGGGTTAACCGTAGTAGTACGGCGCCTCTGGAGCAAATTAGGGTTAAGTGCCTTGCTCAAGGGCACATTGCCAAATTTTCCACCTTGACGGGTCGGGTATTCAAACCAGCGACCTTTCGTTTACTGGCCGAACGCTCTAACCGCGCCTATTATGTTATATTAGGTTTAGGGGACCAAAATGACTTGATAACACATACATTACTTCTAGTCATTTCCATCCACTAAGATGCTCTTATTCATAATATAATAATAATAATGCAGTGGTGTAGGGTTATTCATTAGAGCATGGGTCCCCAATTACATTCAGTCGTGGGCCGATTTTTACACTGCAAATTGACTGCAAGAATCCCCAAAAGATATAGTAATAATTTCAAACCTTGTTTACATTGGGATACGATCACATATAATAATAATAATAATAATAATAATAATAATAATAATAATAATAAAATGAAAACATTTTGTTTGTATAGCGCTTTTCAGTACGGTGTTCTCAAAGCTCTACATAGGCAAAAAATTATAATAATGATAGTAAAATAAAATTCAATAAAAACATCATACATTTAGAATCAAGGGAGGAAATAGCAATAGTAGGCTAGGTGCTAAAATTACTTAGCAGATTAGGACTATAAAATAGACAGTCTGTAGAAATGTGTTTCAAGACCCGTTTGAAAAGTTCAGATTGATGGAGCGGCTCTGAGATGGTCAGGGAGAGCATTCCATAGAGGAGGGGCAAGGGAGTAGAAGGCTCGGTCCCCCATAGTACGAAGACGTGTCTTGCGGACTCGAAGTAGTATGCCTCTATTTATGCATGGGAATACTTGGGAAAAGATTTCCTCAATTAAAATCACTTTGCGCTCATTTCCTGGTGATTGTACAATCTTTTATGTCCAATATTGTTTTGTTTTTTTACTAAGTTTGCCGCCTATTGAGGAACCCTGCATTAGAGTGTCTGTCTCATATTGTTGTTTCTAAATGGCAGTGGCCCTGGCCTATGGGATCTACAAGCAGGACCTGCCCACCCCAGAGGAGAAGCCACGCAATGTGGTGTTCGTGGACCTGGGACATTCATCATTCCAGGTCGCCATATCAGCCTTCAACAAAGGCAAACTCAAGGTGGGTTCTTCTTCCTAAAGAAGCAGAAGCAGTCTATCACTATCTATCACTATTTATCACCTGTCTTTTTCTTTATCTCGCCCATACAGTATTTTACCCCTAATTGTTTGGTCAATTAACCAGGTACTGGCCACAGCTTTTGACCCCTACCTGGGTGGGCGTAACTTTGATGAGGTACTTGTGGAGCACTTCTGCGAGGAGTTCAAGGCAAGGTACAAGCTGAATGTGAGGGAGAACCCCAGGGCTATTCTGCGGCTGTCTCAGGAATGTGAGAAACTGAAGAAGTTGATGAGCGCCAACTGCTCTGACCTTCCCATTAACATTGAGTGCTTCATGAATGACATTGATGTGACAACAAAGTGATTGTCTGTTTGTCCTTGTTTGGGTGTGTGTTTGTTTATGTATGTGTGTAGTGTGCAATTCTGTCCCCAGCATTTAAGGTGCGTGAATTCTCCATTACTGATGTGGTTCCCTTTCCCATAACCCTACGCTGGAAGTCCCCCACAGAAGATGGAGTCGGGTAAGGGCACATACTCAGCTGGCTCTATAGAAAGAAACAGTAATTTGTGGGTACTGTGTTGTTTGTAATAAGATGAGCAGACATTACAACACAGTGATTGCCTTGACCTCATCCAACACCACTGTCTGTTCTACAGAGAATGTGAGGTGTACAGTAAGAACCATGCAGCGCCCTTCTCCAAAGTCATCACCTTCCACAAGAAGGAGCCCTTTGATTTGGAAGCATTCTACAGCCTCCCACAGGAGCTGCCTTACCCGGACATCGGGATAGGTACACCTGCTTATTCAACTAAGCCCTCTGCAGTTCATAGAGATCTTCTTTAATCTTTGATGTACCTGTTCAAGGAATTGGAAGGCGGTCTCACTGAACGTAAAATATTTAGCTGTAACACCCTGATGGCACTTAGCTATTCTGCCTTGAGATCCCCTTACAAGACAGCTACTATACAGTGGCTTGCAAAAGTATTCACCCCCCTTGGCATTTTTCCTATTTTGTTGCCTTACAACCTGGAATTAAAATGGATTTTTTGGGGGTTTGTATCATTTGATTTACACAACATGCCTACCAATTTGAAGATGCAAAATAAAATTTTTTGTGAAACAAACAAGAAATAAGACAAAAAACAGAACTTGAGCGTGCATAACTATTCACCACCCCAAAGTCAATACATTGTAGAGCCACCTTTTGCAGCAATTTACAGCTGCAAGTCTCTTGGGGTATGTCTCTATAAGCTTGGCACATCTAGCGACTGGGATTGTTGCCCATTCTTCAAGGCAAAACTGCTCCAGCTCCTTCAAGTTGGATGGGTTCCGCTGGTGTACAGCAATCTTTAAGTAATACCACAGATTCTCAATTGGATTGAGGTCTGGGCTTTGACTAGGCCATTCCAAGACATTTAAATGTTTCCCCTTAAACCACTCGAGTGTTGCTTTAGCAGTATGTTTAGGGTCATTATCCTGCTGGAAGGTGAACCTCCGTCCCAGTCTTAAATCTCTGGAAGACTGAAACAGGTTTCCCTCAAGAATTTCCCTGTATTTTGTGGCATCCATCATTCCTTCAATTCTGACCAGTTTCCCAGTCCCTGCCGATGAAAAACATCCCCACCGCATGATGCTGCCACCACCATGCTTCACTGTGGGGATGGTGTTCTTGGGTGATGAGAGGTGTTGAGTTTGCGTCAGACATAGCGTTTTCCTTGATGGCCAAAAAGCTCAATTTTAGTCTCATCTGACCAGAGTACCTTCTTCCATATGTTTGGGGAGTCTCCCACATGCCTTTTGGCGAACACCAAACGTGTTTGCTTATTTTTTTCTTTAAGCAATGGCTTTTTTTCTGGCCACTCTTCTGTAAAGCCCAGCTCTGTGGAGTGTACGGCTTAAAGTGGTCCTATGGACAGATACTCCAATCTCCGCTGTGGAGCTTTGCAGCTCCTTCAGTGTTATCTTTGGTCTCTTTGTTGCCTCTGATTAATGCCCTCCTTGCCTGGTCCGTGAATTTTGGTGGGCGACCCTCTCTTGGCAGGTTTGTTGTGGTGCCATATTCTTTCCATTTTTTAATAATGGATTTAATGGTGCTCCGTGGGATGTTCAAAGTTTCGGATATTGTTTTACAACCCAACCCTGATCTGTACTTCTCCACAACTTTTTCCCTGACCTGTTTGGAGAGCTCCTTTCTCTTCATGGTGCCGCTTGCTTGGTGGTGCCCCTTGCTTAGGGGTGTTGCAGACTCTGGGGCCTTTCAGAACAGGTGTATATATACTGAGATCATGTGACAGATCATGTGACACTTAGATTGCACACAGGTGGACTTTATTCAACTAATTATGTGACTTCTGAAGGTAATTGGTTGCACCAGATCTTATTTAGGGGCTTCATAGCAAAGGGGGTGAATACTTATGCACGCACCACTTTTCCGTAATTTTTTTATTAGAATTTTTCATTTCACTTCACCAATTTGGACTATTTTGTGTATGTCCATTACATGGAATCCAAATAAAAATCAATTTAAATTACAGGTTGTAATGCAACAAAATAGAAAAAACGCCAAGGGGGATGAATACTTTTGCAAGGCACTGTCTGTCCTGTGGTTGGCCATCTGCAATTGTTTCTTTTCTTTTTTGGGGTCTTTTTTTTGGGGGCGGGGTAGATCAGCTTTAATATTTCAGATAGATTGTAACTTCCATCAATGTAATTGTCTGCATCACTTCCAATCCATCATATGTTTTTTTTCTCGCAAATATATAAATATATATACAGTGGGGAGAACAAGTATTTGATACACTGCCGATTTTGCAGGTTTTCCTACTTACAAAGCATGTAGAGGTCTGTAATCTTTATCATAGGTACACTTCAACTGTGAGAGACGGAATCTAAAACAAAAATCCAGAAAATCACATTGTATGATTTTTAAGTAATTAATTTGCATTTTATTGCATGACATAAGTATTTGATCACCTACCAACCAGTAAGAATTCCGGCTCTCACAGACCTGTTAGTTTTTCTTTAAGAAGCCCTCCTGTTCTCCACTCATTATCTGTACTAACTGCACCTGTTTGAACTCGTTACCTGTATAAAAGACACCTGTCCACACACTCAATCAAACAGACTCCAACCTCTCCACAATGGCCAAGACCAGAGAGCTGTGTAAGGACATCAGGGATAAAATTGTAGACCTGCACAAGGCTGGGATGGGCTACAGGACAACAGGCAAGCAGCTTGGTGAGAAGGCAACAACTGTTGGTGCAATTATTAGAAAATGGAAGAAGTTCAAGATGACGGTCAATCAGCCTCGGTCTGGGGCTCCATGCAAGATCTCACCTCGTGGGGCATCAATGATCATGAGGAAGGTGAGGGATCAGCCCAGAACTACACGGCAGGACCTGGTCAATGACCTGAAGAGAGCTGGGACCACAGTCTCAAATAAAACCATTAGTAACACACTACGCCATCATGGATTAAAATCCTGCAGCGCACGCAAGGTCCCCCTGCTCAAGCCAGCGCATGTCCAGGCCCGTCTGAAGTTTGCCAATGACCATCTGAATGATCCAGAGGAGGAATGGGAGAAGGTCATGTGGTCTGATGAGACAAAAATATAGCTTTTTGGTCTAAACTCCACTCGCCGTGTTTGGAGGAAGAAGAAGGATGAGTACAACCCCAAGAACACCATCCCAACCGTGAAGCATGGAGGTGGAAACATCATTCTTTGGGGATGCTTTTCTGCAAAGGGGACAGGACGAATGCACCGTATTGAGGGGAGGATGGATGGGGCCATGTATCGCGAGATCTTGGCCAACAACCTCCTTCCCTCAGTAAGAGCATTGAAGATGGGTCGTGGCTGGGTCTTCCAGCATGACAACGAAACCGAAAAACACAGCCAGGGCAACTAAGGAGTGGCTCCGTAAGAAGCATCTCAAGGTCCTGGAGTGGCCTAGCCAGTCTCCAGACCTGAACCCAATAGAACATATTTGGAGGGAGCTGAAAGTCCGTATTGCCCAGCAACAGCCCCGAAACCTGAAGGAACTGGAGAAGGTCTGTATGGAGGAGTGGGCCAAAATCCCTTCTGCAGTGTGTGCAAACCTGGTCAAGACCTACAGGAAACGTATGATCTCTGTAATTGCAAACAAAGGTTTCTGTACCAAATATTGAGTTCTGCTTTTCTGATGTATCAAATACTTATGTCATGCAATAAAATGCAAATTAATTACTTAAAAATCATACAATGTGATTTTCTGGATTTTTGTTTTAGATTCCGTCTCTCACAGTTGAAGTGTACCTATGATAACAATTACAGACCTCTACATGCTTTGTAAGTAGGAATACCTGCAAAATCGGCAGTGTATCAAATACTTGTTCTCCCCACTGTATATATATATATATATATATATATATATATATATATATATATACACAGTTGAAGTCGGAAGTTTACATACATCTTAGCCAAATACATTTAAACTCAGTTTTTTCACAATTCCTGACATTTAATCCTAGTAAAGATTCCCTGTTTTAGGTCAGTTAGGATCACCACTTTATTTTAAGAATGTGAAATGTCAGAATAATAGTAGAGAGAATGATTTATTTTTTATTTTTCATTCATCACATTCCCAGTGGGTCAGAAGTTTACATACACTCAATTAGTATTTGGTAGCATTGCCTTTAAATTGTTTAACTTGGGTCAAACATTCCACAAGCTTCCCACAATAAGTTGGGTGAATTTTGGCCCATTCCTTCTGACAGAGCTGGTGTATCTGAGTCAGGTTTGTAGGCCTCCTTGCTCGCACACGCTTTTTCAGTTCTGCCCACAAATGTTCTATAGGATTGAGGTCAGGGCTTTGTGATGGCCACTCCAATACCTTGACTTTGTTATCCTTAAGCCATTTTGCCACAACTTTGGAAGTATGCTTGGGGTCATTGTCCATTTGGAAGACCCATTTGCGACCAAGCTTTAACTTCCTGACTGATGTCTTGAGATGTTGCTTCAATATATCCACATAATTTTCCTTCCTCATGATGCCATCTATTTTGTGAAGTGCACCAGTCCCTCCTGCAGCAAAGCACCCCCACAGCATGATGCTGCCACCCCTGTTCTTCACGGTTGGGATGGTGTTCTTCGGCTTGCAAGCCACCCCCTTTTTCCTTCAAACATAACGATGGTCATTATGGCCAAACAGTTCTATTTTTGTTTCATCAGACCAGAGGACATTTCTCCAAAACGTACAATCTTTGTCCCCATGTGCAGTTGCAAACCGTAGTCTGGCTTTTTTATGGCGGTTTTGGAGCAGTGGCTTCTTCCTTGCTGACCGGCCTTTCAGGTTATGTCGATATAGGACTCGTTTTACTGTGGATATAGATACTTTTGTACCTGTTTCCTCCAGCATCTTCACAAGGTCCTTTGCTGTAGTTCTGGGATTGATTTGCACTTTTCGCACCAAAGCACGTTAATCTCCTTCCTGAGCGGTATGACGGCTGCGTGGTAACATGGTGTTTACACTTGCATACTATTGTTTGTACAGATGAACGTGGTACCTTCAGGTGTTTGGAAATTGCTCCCAAGGATGAACCAGACGTGGAGGTCTACAATATATTTTCTGAGGTCTTGGCTGAGTTCTTTTGATTTTCCCATGATGTCAAGCAAAGAGGCACTGAGTTTGAAGGTAGGGCTTGAAATACATCCACAGGTATGTCACGATCGTCAGGGAGAGACCAATGCGCAGCGTGATGAATGAACATGTTTACTTTATTAAATTAAAGCACGAACAAAACAACAAACG